CCCAGGCCTCTTCCCCCGCCACCGCCTCCCCCAGGGGGGGCAGCAAGAGGAAGGGAGGCAGCGGCAGCAGCAGCACCCCTGGTGGGGGAGGCAGCAGCGGTAAGGGTAGGGGCAGGGCTGGGGCTGGAGGAGCAGGGGGAGGAGGCGGAGGAGGCAGCTGCAACAGCCAAGGCAGGGCTGCCTCGTCCAGGAGGAGCATCAGCAAAGTGGTGTACGATGATCATGAGAGTGAAGAGGAGGAGGAGAGCATGGTGTCCGAGGAGGAAGAGGAGGGAGACCCCGAGGATAACCAGGACTCCGAGGAGGAAGAGGAGGAGGAGATAATGGAGGAGGAGGACGACGACGACTCTGACTACCCTGAAGAGATGGAGGATGAAGACGATGCCAGTTATTGCACTGAGAGCAGCTTCAGGAGCCACAGCACCTACAGCAGCACCCCAGGTAGAGAGTCAGTGGGATGAACTAAAACAAGTCGAGGGCACCCCACATGCTCCCTCTAGGTTTGCAAATACACTCCGCACGCATTCTTCCTCCCATGCGTGTATGTAAGGGATGCCTGCAAGCACTCACAGGGAGAGAGGGGTATGCAAATTAACGACTGGCAACCCCACGGATGCAGGGAACATTAGGAGATGCTTACCAACACATGCACTGAGAGGAGGGAGGGAGGGAGGGCAGTACATGCTGTAACAAGGGGATGCTTTGCAAATATGCATGGAGATTCTGGTGACTGCAGAAATGCGTGATACACCATAACATGTTGCAAACAATGTCAAAAGTGTATGGAGCATTCGGTTAATATTTAAGAACAAGGGAAACGAGATGTATGCCTTGCAAAGAGGTCCTTTCAAATATATGCAGGAAAGGATGGCTTGTGCTTGCGAATATAACTTGATGTTAAAAGGAAAGGAAGCACATGCAACTTGAAGTGGCCTAAAAAAAAAAAACCAACCGTAAACACTGAAAATTTTCAGGCTTTTGAAATCAGAGGTATAACTGGATCAAGCGTTTACTGGCTTTAAGATAAAACTAGCTTTCCAAGGAGGGAAATGAGGTGCATTGTTCAAAATGGAGATTGCATTGTTATAGTTTGGGGAAAAGTGCACAGGGCCTCACTGCAAGGGTGTAAACCTAGTTTTAGTTAAACACAAAGATTAAAAGGTGGAGGTTGAGTCAAAAGTCTTGGTTTTAAATACTGCATTTATCTTAAGATATGGCAACCTTTAAAACTCATGTTGGGGTTAAAACTCGTTAAACATCATTGTGATTATTTTTTTAACCTCTAGTGGCAAATTTGGGCTAAAATTTTTAAGGCCTGTACTGTTTGTCCTTAATTAGTTCATTAACCATATGGGTTTCAAGCTTCAAAAATTATTTCATCTAAACTTAAGCACTTTGGATTTATTTTAATTCATTCCAGAATGGAGTTCAAGTTTAGGATTTTTTTTTTAAGTCTCTGAACCAGGAGAGTAGTTAAACTTAGGGATAACCTAGGAGTGTTTCTGAATTGGGCTACAGGATAACAAACACTGCTGTTGTAAAAGTACTTGGCCAATTTGGAGGGGGGGAGGAACAGGTTGTTGGTGTAAATGCATTGCATCTTAATTAAAGGAAGAGTGTAGTTTTGAGTAGTTAGCTGACAACTTTTTAAAAGGGGGAAGTGCTGGCTACTAAATGTGTCATTTGTTTTTATTTTGGTGAGTTAATGGTATCAGCTCATTATGTGACTTCATAATAGTCCTTTAAAAAAACTCTGTATGTCTGTCTATATATACATTATTTTTTTAATCTATATCCATATGCTCAGGAACCTAAATGAATCAAAATAAGTACATACATTACTAAATGAATTTAATTTAGAGATAATTTTTAAGGTGTTAGTTTACCTGTTGCAGGGATGTCCTGCAATCAAATTGGAATTTTTGAATATTTATTCCTTTAAAGATTGAGGTCTGGCTTCACAGAAGAAAAAAACTAAAGTACTCTCTTGAATTTTAACTCTTCATTTTCTGCTTGGTTGTGGTAACTTTTAATTTTTATTACTTTTTTGGGGGGTGCTTTTGTCAGGGAAAGAATATTTTTATGATTTTAGTTGCCTAGGTCAGGAAAATATTTTTTATATGAGCATCCAGGTTTAAAAGGAGTTCTACAGAGTATGGGTGTATTCAATTTTTGAAATGTACTTAAGTATTTTGGCAAATAACAAGATATCTCTGTGTGCATTGTTGTGCAAGCGTGGGCAGGTTTTATGTGGTATTTAGGTGTATCAGAAACCATTTTGATAATTTATATGTTTTTCTCACTTGGTCAGGGAAACTTCAGTTAACTTTTTAAAGATAAGTTTAAGTGTAAGCATTTTCATCCTTATATGCCTTTTTTTTTTTTTATACTGAGTGTTCGATAGTTAAAACATCTATGTTGTTATTTTGGCAATTTGCTGGCAGTTCTCATTAGTTCAGTATTTGCCTAAAGGTCTCCCTCCTTCCTTCCCTCTCTCCCAGACATGCTGTTGCCCTTCTGCAAAGAAAGTACGAACTTTTCATTTGATCAGCTCAGTCTGTGTCTTGTTTCTGCTGAACAAATACCTACGTTGTGAGCACTGCTGCACAGTGGTGGCACTAATTGAAATCTTAGTCTTATCATAATCCAGGAAGAGATACTTGACATTAGAACAGCATTAATAGGCAAGGAAAAGATTCACCTAACCTCAGTATCTCTTTATCTGACAGCAGCCAGTGCAGAGAAAAGTGTTAAGAATAGGGCGAGCATACAGTGTCTCTGGAGTTCCTTCATGGGCTCCAGTGCTCTTTGACTGAGGTGGATGCTGAGCCAGAATTGGTCTTTAGCTATGTTTAGATACCATTTTTTTTCCTTTCATATATTTGTCTTCTAACCAGACAAATTGTAATATACAGTGACACAGTTCCTGTGGTTAACTGGAGGGCTTGAAGGAGTGTCTCCTCCATTGTTTTAAACTGGCCCCTGACAGAATCCTGCTATGCCCACTAGTTTTTTTCTACTAGAAGAGATGGTGAACAATTGTTCTCTACTTATCTTCCCTCAATCACGTGCAGCCTGAATTACTACCACTTTCAGGATGTACTCTTAGGGGCTGAAGAGTTTATTTTTTGAGAGCAGGGTATTGAAAAATTGCAATCCCAATCAAATTCTCTTACCAACCAAGGTTTTACACATAAATCATATCCCAGTTAAATGGGTGACAGGCTTTTTACAGTTTTTTCAAACTTACATTGAACAATGAATTAAAAGATCACAGTGCAATGTCTCTAGCCAAGAAACGCTCAATTTTTGTGCTTTGCTGGGGAGTTTATGATGTATCTTAAACTTGGATGTAGGAGTACTTTTTTTCTATATTATTATTATTAAAGTATTTAAAGAAGCAAAATCTCAGGAATGGTAAAATGCCTTTGATATAACGCTTAATAATGGTACAGTGAAAGCTTATTGTGTGAATGCATATGACATCTATCATTGATTTTTCTTCTGCTGGATGGGCTTTTGGTAGAGGGATTTTGTGTGTATGTAATGTCCCTTCTCTCATCCCTTTGTATCCCCAGAAGGTAGATGTACTTTTAGGGTAGGTATCCTATAGATCTTGTATCACTAAAAATTTTTGCTATCACCTGCCCACTGCAAGTTCTACTTTAGGTTTGTCACAATTGCATTATAGATATCAAGTATTTTCCATATGTTGCAGAATTTTAAAAGAAGGATTTCATTAAGGTGCCTAGAAGTCCTTCATTTTTTCTGTTTCTTGATTTTCTTCATCAAAAACGTGGAAAACTAGCTTTAGGAAGAGCTATATATCTAGATTTTGGCTGAGGTGATCATCAGTCTGCCTAACAAGCAAACGCACACAGTGGAGTTATGAGCCAAAACATTTATCCTAAAATACATTAAATAAGATTTTTAAATGGATTTTGCTAGTCTGAGCATTTACAGTGATTGACCATCACTTCCGTTAACCAGTTTCTTCACCGGTTTGCTTTTATCTTCAGAGTGAACGAATTGAACTGGAAACGAGGTGCTGCATTGTGTGTGTCTGTAGTAATTTTATATCTTAACACCTTTTCCTGCTCTTGAAGAGTTGTTTAAGTGGAGACATTGAGATAGACAGTAAGATATGCAGCCTCTTTTGTCTGCCATGTGCGAAGATTTACCAGCCTCCCAAACATCTTACCTAGGGTACCCTGTTCTCTACATTAAATCTGGCACGCTCTTACTTTACCATTTAGTAATCTGAACTGTGATTTGTACTCTAGAGGAACTATCACTAGTTCATCGTGCCAGTCATGAAAAATGTAGAAGAGGAGTCCTAGCAAAGAAATTGTGTAGAAGGCCAAACGGGTAAATCTGTGGCTGATTCTGTTGTATTGACATGCAAATTTGCAGTTTATCTGAGGAGAGCATTTGTCACTTCAGTCATCAAGCTCTGTGCAGCAAATACCGTACCATTATCAAAGTATGTATGTTGTAAAAGGTAGAATAATTTGATGTGCTGCAGATGTGTTTGTTGTGCAAACTTCTTTTGTAGGTCTGCATTAAAATTTCATAGCTGACCATTGTATTGCACAGAACTGGTGTAAGGTGAATAAATGTAGATTTTAGTAGACTGGGGCTGGCTTTCAGGGCTCGCTAACTTCTGAAATCAGTTACAACTTGTCCTGAGTGTGTCCCAACTAAGAAATTGTCTGTCAGAATGTTCCTGAAAATCATTATGTTGGTGCTACTTTGCTACTTTAGTTGGGGGGGGG